CATCCACAATGCACAGCAGCACGCGCAGCACCAGCGCCCCCCTCCACTTGACATAATCCCTCTGCAGCAGCCCCGCCAGCACCCACACTCCACTCACACAACCCCTCCCCACCCCTTCCCACCCCTCCCAAGCCCATTTACCCTCTTTTTGACTCACGAGGAACGACGTGTGTGAAGAGATAAAGAGCCACCTCTCTTATCGCTTGAGACTCATCCACAATGCACAGCAGCACGCGCAGCACCAGCGCCCCCCTCCACTTGACATAATCCCTCTGCAGCAGCCCCGCCAGCACCCACACTCCACTCACACAACCCCTCCCCACCCCTTCCCACCCCTCCCAAGCCCATTTACCCTCTTTTTGACTCACGAGGAACGACGTGTGTGAAGAGATAAAGAGCCACCTCTCTTATCGCTTGAGACTCATCCACAATGCACAGCAGCACGCGCAGCACCAGCGCCCCCCTCCACTTGACATAATCCCTCTGCAGCAGCCCCGCCAGCACCCACACTCCACTCACACAACCCCTCCCCACCCCTTCCCACCCCTCCCAAGCCCATTTACCCTCTTTTTGACTCACGAGGAACGACGTGTGTGAAGAGATAAAGAGCCACCTCTCTTATCGCTTGAGACTCATCCACAATGCACAGCAGCACGCGCAGCACCAGCGCCCCCCTCCACTTGACATAATCCCTCTGCAGCAGCCCCGCCAGCACCCACACTCCACTCACACAACCCCTCCCCACCCCTTCCCACCCCTCCCAAGCCCATTTACCCTCTTTTTGACTCACGAGGAACGACGTGTGTGAAGAGATAAAGAGCCACCTCTCTTATCGCTTGAGACTCATCCACAATGCACAGCAGCACGCGCAGCACCAGCGCCCCCCTCCACTTGACATAATCCCTCTGCAGCAGCCCCGCCAGCACCCACACTCCACTCACACAACCCCTCCCCACCCCTTCCCACCCCTCCCAAGCCCATTTACCCTCTTTTTGACTCACGAGGAACGACGTGTGTGAAGAGATAAAGAGCCACCTCTCTTATCGCTTGAGACTCATCCACAATGCACAGCAGCACGCGCAGCACCAGCGCCCCCCTCCACTTGACATAATCCCTCTGCAGCAGCCCCGCCAGCACCCACACTCCACTCACACAACCCCTCCCCACCCCTTCCCACCCCTCCCAAGCCCATTTACCCTCTTTTTGACTCACGAGGAACGACGTGTGTGAAGAGATAAAGAGCCACCTCTCTTATCGCTTGAGACTCATCCACAATGCACAGCAGCACGCGCAGCACCAGCGCCCCCCTCCACTTGACATAATCCCTCTGCAGCAGCCCCGCCAGCACCCACACTCCACTCACACAACCCCTCCCCACCCCTTCCCACCCCTCCCAAGCCCATTTACCCTCTTTTTGACTCACGAGGAACGACGTGTGTGAAGAGATAAAGAGCCACCTCTCTTATCGCTTGAGACTCATCCACAATGCACAGCAGCACGCGCAGCACCAGCGCCCCCCTCCACTTGACATAATCCCTCTGCAGCAGCCCCGCCAGCACCCACACTCCACTCACACAACCCCTCCCCACCCCTTCCCACCCCTCCCAAGCCCATTTACCCTCTTTTTGACTCACGAGGAACGACGTGTGTGAAGAGATAAAGAGCCACCTCTCTTATCGCTTGAGACTCATCCACAATGCACAGCAGCACGCGCAGCACCAGCGCCCCCCTCCACTTGACATAATCCCTCTGCAGCAGCCCCGCCAGCACCCACACTCCACTCACACAACCCCTCCCCACCCCTTCCCACCCCTCCCAAGCCCATTTACCCTCTTTTTGACTCACGAGGAACGACGTGTGTGAAGAGATAAAGAGCCACCTCTCTTATCGCTTGAGACTCATCCACAATGCACAGCAGCACGCGCAGCACCAGCGCCCCCCTCCACTTGACATAATCCCTCTGCAGCAGCCCCGCCAGCACCCACACTCCACTCACACAACCCCTCCCCACCCCTTCCCACCCCTCCCAAGCCCATTTACCCTCTTTTTGACTCACGAGGAACGACGTGTGTGAAGAGATAAAGAGCCACCTCTCTTATCGCTTGAGACTCATCCACAATGCACAGCAGCACGCGCAGCACCAGCGCCCCCCTCCACTTGACATAATCCCTCTGCAGCAGCCCCGCCAGCACCCACACTCCACTCACACAACCCCTCCCCACCCCTTCCCACCCCTCCCAAGCCCATTTACCCTCTTTTTGACTCACGAGGAACGACGTGTGTGAAGAGATAAAGAGCCACCTCTCTTATCGCTTGAGACTCATCCACAATGCACAGCAGCACGCGCAGCACCAGCGCCCCCCTCCACTTGACATAATCCCTCTGCAGCAGCCCCGCCAGCACCCACACTCCACTCACACAACCCCTCCCCACCCCTTCCCACCCCTCCCAAGCCCATTTACCCTCTTTTTGACTCACGAGGAACGACGTGTGTGAAGAGATAAAGAGCCACCTCTCTTATCGCTTGAGACTCATCCACAATGCACAGCAGCACGCGCAGCACCAGCGCCCCCCTCCACTTGACATAATCCCTCTGCAGCAGCCCCGCCAGCACCCACACTCCACTCACACAACCCCTCCCCACCCCTTCCCACCCCTCCCAAGCCCATTTACCCTCTTTTTGACTCACGAGGAACGACGTGTGTGAAGAGATAAAGAGCCACCTCTCTTATCGCTTGAGACTCATCCACAATGCACAGCAGCACGCGCAGCACCAGCGCCCCCCTCCACTTGACATAATCCCTCTGCAGCAGCCCCGCCAGCACCCACACTCCACTCACACAACCCCTCCCCACCCCTTCCCACCCCTCCCAAGCCCATTTACCCTCTTTTTGACTCACGAGGAACGACGTGTGTGAAGAGATAAAGAGCCACCTCTCTTATCGCTTGAGACTCATCCACAATGCACAGCAGCACGCGCAGCACCAGCGCCCCCCTCCACTTGACATAATCCCTCTGCAGCAGCCCCGCCAGCACCCACACTCCACTCACACAACCCCTCCCCACCCCTTCCCACCCCTCCCAAGCCCATTTACCCTCTTTTTGACTCACGAGGAACGACGTGTGTGAAGAGATAAAGAGCCACCTCTCTTATCGCTTGAGACTCATCCACAATGCACAGCAGCACGCGCAGCACCAGCGCCCCCCTCCACTTGACATAATCCCTCTGCAGCAGCCCCGCCAGCACCCACACTCCACTCACACAACCCCTCCCCACCCCTTCCCACCCCTTCCCACCCCTCCCAAGCCCATTTACCCTCTTTTTGACTCACGAGGAACGACGTGTGTGAAGAGATAAAGAGCCACCTCTCTTATCGCTTGAGACTCATCCACAATGCACAGCAGCACGCGCAGCACCAGCGCCCCCCTCCACTTGACATAATCCCTCTGCAGCAGCCCCGCCAGCACCCACACTCCACTCACACAACCCCTCCCCACCCCTTCCCACCCCTCCCAAGCCCATTTACCCTCTTTTTGACTCACGAGGAACGACGTGTGTGAAGAGATAAAGAGCCACCTCTCTTATCGCTTGAGACTCATCCACAATGCACAGCAGCACGCGCAGCACCAGCGCCCCCCTCCACTTGACATAATCCCTCTGCAGCAGCCCCGCCAGCACCCACACTCCACTCACACAACCCCTCCCCACCCCTTCCCACCCCTCCCAAGCCCATTTACCCTCTTTTTGACTCACGAGGAACGACGTGTGTGAAGAGATAAAGAGCCACCTCTCTTATCGCTTGAGACTCATCCACAATGCACAGCAGCACGCGCAGCACCAGCGCCCCCCTCCACTTGACATAATCCCTCTGCAGCAGCCCCGCCAGCACCCACACTCCACTCACACAACCCCTCCCCACCCCTTCCCACCCCTCCCAAGCCCATTTACCCTCTTTTTGACTCACGAGGAACGACGTGTGTGAAGAGATAAAGAGCCACCTCTCTTATCGCTTGAGACTCATCCACAATGCACAGCAGCACGCGCAGCACCAGCGCCCCCCTCCACTTGACATAATCCCTCTGCAGCAGCCCCGCCAGCACCCACACTCCACTCACACAACCCCTCCCCACCCCTTCCCACCCCTCCCAAGCCCATTTACCCTCTTTTTGACTCACGAGGAACGACGTGTGTGAAGAGATAAAGAGCCACCTCTCTTATCGCTTGAGACTCATCCACAATGCACAGCAGCACGCGCAGCACCAGCGCCCCCCTCCACTTGACATAATCCCTCTGCAGCAGCCCCGCCAGCACCCACACTCCACTCACACAACCCCTCCCCACCCCTTCCCACCCCTCCCAAGCCCATTTACCCTCTTTTTGACTCACGAGGAACGACGTGTGTGAAGAGATAAAGAGCCACCTCTCTTATCGCTTGAGACTCATCCACAATGCACAGCAGCACGCGCAGCACCAGCGCCCCCCTCCACTTGACATAATCCCTCTGCAGCAGCCCCGCCAGCACCCACACTCCACTCACACAACCCCTCCCCACCCCTTCCCACCCCTCCCAAGCCCATTTACCCTCTTTTTGACTCACGAGGAACGACGTGTGTGAAGAGATAAAGAGCCACCTCTCTTATCGCTTGAGACTCATCCACAATGCACAGCAGCACGCGCAGCACCAGCGCCCCCCTCCACTTGACATAATCCCTCTGCAGCAGCCCCGCCAGCACCCACACTCCACTCACACAACCCCTCCCCACCCCTTCCCACCCCTCCCAAGCCCATTTACCCTCTTTTTGACTCACGAGGAACGACGTGTGTGAAGAGATAAAGAGCCACCTCTCTTATCGCTTGAGACTCATCCACAATGCACAGCAGCACGCGCAGCACCAGCGCCCCCCTCCACTTGACATAATCCCTCTGCAGCAGCCCCGCCAGCACCCACACTCCACTCACACAACCCCTCCCCACCCCTTCCCACCCCTCCCAAGCCCATTTACCCTCTTTTTGACTCACGAGGAACGACGTGTGTGAAGAGATAAAGAGCCACCTCTCTTATCGCTTGAGACTCATCCACAATGCACAGCAGCACGCGCAGCACCAGCACCCCACGCCACTTGACATAGTCCCTCTGCAGCAGCCCCGCCAGCAGCACGAGCGTCTGCCGCCTCACGAGCTCACAGGGGTCGCGCAGGCAGTCAGAGATGCAGGGCACGTGGGGGTCGACGAGGGCTGTGTAACGCACACAGAGGTCTGTGAGGATGATGACCAGGTTGTTGCGCACTGAGGGGAGAGAACTCCTCTGGAGCTCCTGTTTGGATCGGGATTGGGGGTTGGAAAAATGGTTGGGAGAGGGTTGGGAGGGAGTTAGAAGGCAGGTGGAGATGTAGGGCACGTGGGGGGCGGTGTAGCGCACACAGAGGTCTGTGAGAATCACGATGAGGTTGTTGCGGACCGAGGGGAGAGGACTGCACTGCAGCTCCTGTGGGGAACAAGGGTTGGGAGGGGGTTGAGAGGGTTCAGAGCACATGGGGGTCCACAAGGGCTGTGTAGCGCACACAGAGGTCTGTGAGGATGATGACCAGGTTGTTGCGCACTGAGGGGAGTGGGCTGCGCTGCAGCTCCTGTTGGGTGCAAGGGTTGTGAGAGGATTGGGAATGGGTTGGGAGTGGGTTGGGAGTGGGTTGGGAGTGGGTTGGGAGTGGGTTGGGAGTGGGTTGGGAGTGGGTTGGGAGTGGGTTGGGAGTGGGTTGGGAGGTCGTTAGGAGGCAGGCGGAAATGCAGGACACGTGGGGGTCCACGCGAGGTCAGTGTAGCGCACACAGAGGTCCGTGAGAACGACGACCAGGTTGTTGCGCACTGAGGGGAGTGGGCTGCGCTGCAGCTCCTGTTTGCATCGGGAGGAGGATTGGGAGAGGATTGGGAGAGGTCTGGGAGAGGGTTGAGAGGTCGGGAGAAATTTGGAAGGCCTGAAAGCACACGGTGGCTGACGAGAGTGGTGCAGCACATACCAGGCTGTTGCAGATCGACGGGAGGACTGAACTGAAACAGAGGGAAGGGAAAGCAGCAAAGGAGGAGGTTGATGCTTGCCTGGACGAAGAGCGGCACGCAGGACTTGGCCAGTGCGTGGTCCACCAGAGAGAAACGATATTTGAGTCAACTAAAGAGCAGCAAAGTAACACTTGCCTGGACGAAGAGCGGCACGCAGGTCTTGGCCAGTGCGTGGTCCACCAGAGAGAAACGATATTTGAGTCAACTAAAGAGCAGCAAAGTAACACTTGCCTGGACGAAGAGCGGCACGCAGGTCTTGGCCAGTGCGTGGTCCACCAGAGAGAAGCGACCCAGAGCCAGCCACCCATGCGCCAACACTGGGACCCGCACCCCTGCTGCCGCTGCTGCTGCTACTGCTGCTGCTGCTGCTGCTGCTGCTGCTGCTGTCCCAGGGTTGGTTGCAGCGGCGGCAGCAGCAACGGGTACTGGTGGTGCTGAGGAATTGGAATTCCCCAGAAGCAGCTCCAGAAGGCACTGAAATGCTTCTTTCAGCGCACTCTGCAGCAACACGAGTTGCTCACACTCGCTCGCTCCCTTTCTGCTGCCCCCGCTTCTTCCCTTGCTCTTCCCGCTCCCCCCTTGCCTCCCACCAGCAGCAGCAGCAGCAGCTCTTTCAACACCACTATCACTATCAACACCAGCCACAGCTGCAGCATTCGCAGCAGCAGCGGGAGCCCCAGCACCTGAAGCAGCAGCAGCAGCGTGTGTCTCTGCGAGTTCCCCAGCAATGAGTGCCAGCTGGCCGCACACAAACACTGCACACTCCACCCTCTGCCCCCAAGGCTGCCCCTCTGCCCCCTCCTCCAGCTCCTCCTGCTGCTTCTGCTGCTCCTTCTCCTTCGCCTCATCCTCCCCCTCCTCCTCTGGCTGCTCCTCCCGCCGCTCCTGTGCCCTCACTTCCGCCCTGTTCTGGTCAGGGCTCCCCTGCCGGCGTCGACCTGCTTTGACCTGTGATTGCACAATCTCTGTGGCTTGCTGGCACAGCTCCAGGCACCAAGCAGCGATGGTTGCTTCCGGTGATTCGCTCACACAAGGTGCTGCTCCACCACTTCCTGGGACAGGAATGCTGCTATTGCTGTTCCTGTTGCTGTTGCTATTGCTATTGTTGCTGCTGCTTCTGCCACTGCTCCTGCTGCCAGTGGCTGCATGTCGGTTGAGAGTGGCAAGGGCGACCATGTGCACCCCAGCCTGTTTGCAAGGAAACAACGGGGACAGATTAAGTTGAGTTGCAGAAAGCAAAAATGGAAACTCATCCCATTTACAAGTGTTTCCAGACCAGCGAAATAATTCTGCTAGCTTAGATGGCCGTGCACTCTCACGATATTGGAGAGGGCACAGCTAGAGCGTCACAAAGGGCTGGCGTGGCTAAGGGGTAGAGAGCGGCTACGGGTATCCCAAAACGAGTAAGCAGGTGCAGCCTGGGGCAACCAGCATGCTTCGACACACTCCACAACAGGACAAACCGGGCCAATTGCAGCGCCTCACCTCTTCTGGGGACAGCTGGAAGCTCCGCAGGTTGTGCAGCAGGCCTGCTGCCACGTCAGCAGCTTTCTCCCTTGGGATTCGTGCAGCGACATTGCAGAGAGCCTTGAGCACGTGCACTTGCGCCTCTCTCTCCTGCTCGTCCAACACTTCTGCCTCCTTTTCCTGCCCCTGCAAAACCCCTGCTCTCTCCTGCCCGCCCATGACCCTGGAACCAGAACCTGGAGTTGCAGCCTCAGCAGCATCTTGACCAACAGCAGGTGCTGCAGAGACCGACTCAGGACGAGCAGTTCCGGTTTCCTGCTGCTTCCTGCCGTCCCTCCATCTGGAAATCAGAAACTCCCATCTGACCCCCTGTGGCGAGAAGGAGGTGACTTCCAGCAGTAGCAGCCACGCGCCCCTCACCACCCACCTCCATAGACTGCTGGGGCTGGCCCCCTTCACACCTGCTGCCATTGCTACCGAATTTCCTTTCCCAGTCGGCTGCTTCTGCTGCTGCTGCTGCTGCTGCTGCTGCTGCTGCTGCTGCTGCTGCTGCGCGTTCTGCCATCCCTCGGCCGCTTCAATCACCGCCTGCAGCCCTTCCACGAGCCTTGCATTGAGCGCGTTCCGCCGAGCCAGAACCGCACATGCGCGGTGCAGCAACGGCACCACCGACGAGTTCCCTTGACCAATCGCCATCAGCCACGCCACTGCACTTCGCACTGACCCTTCAGCTACTACTGCTGCTGCTGCTGCTGCTGCTCCTGCTGCGTTTCCTCCTCCTGCTGCTCCAGCACCCTCTCCCCCAGCAGCCCGCGCACACATCTCACACACTCCCTCCCCCTCACAGAGCACTGGGGCAGGAGGCACCCCCCTCCTCCCCACACACACGTGCAGGGGCCTATCTTTGCACAGACTCATCCTCGAAGCAGCAGAGAGGCGGGGAGACGCAGAGATGAGGCCGAGGGGTTGGAGGAGCAGGGAGGCGAGGAGGTCTAGCGCCTGGTCTTGCACAGTGGCCTCGTTGTCGAGAATGAGAACGAACGCGGATTGCAGCCACTTGGCGCGCAGCCACACGTGGCCTGGGTTTGACATGGTCAGCTGAGAGGGAAAAGGGAGAAGGGAAGGGAAGGGAAGCGGAAATGATGAGAGGGCGAGCGACCTGGCACTTCGACTGCTGAACGAGGAGTACAAGGGCACGAGGATGGCAAAGGTTGAATCCAGTGTCCTGATGCCCTATGGTGATCGCACCTTGGACAACGCGGTGAGAGCCACCCTCCGGACGCTCAGCAGCGAGTCGGAGCACAGCTCCCCAATGGCATACACCAATTCCTCCCTCAGTGGCAGCCTCGACAGCCCAACAATCTCCTCCAGAGCCCCCACCGCCGCCTTGCGCACCAGCCCCTTCTCGTCCTCCAAACGCATCCGCACCATGCCCAACACCTCCTCTACACTCAGAACCGACCAACCCGTCCCAGCTCCCAATGCTTCTCCAGGCTCCGATTCCCCACTCAGCCCGGACCCACGGCCAATACTTGCGTCAGGCTCAGCTTGTGCATGAGTATGAGAATGAGTAGGAGCATGAGCATGGGCATGAACATGTCCCGCAAGTACAGCATCCAGGAGCGAGGGGCGTCCTTTCAGAATCCGAAGGGTCGCAGTGAGCGCCACAAGGGCTCGGGCGCGCACAGTGGGACTGGCGTCCGAGGCCCTACGGAACATGAGCCCCAAACAGCTGCCAACACGGCCGATTAGAATGGCTCTCACGCTTCCAGTCCCACTGCTATCCCCAGCCTCTCTGCTGCCGGTCCCCACCCCCTGCCAATTTCCATTCTCCCTGTCAGTAGGAGAACCTCCTTCTGAAGCTGACCCCTGACTCAGACTCACTTCATCCCCTTCGTCCCTCTCTGCATCTCCCCCTTTCCCCCCAGTCCCTTCCCCCTCTTCCCCACCGGCTGCCTCCTCCCGCCCCTTCCCAATCCCCGTGTCCCCATCTTCCACATCACGGCTCCGACCCCCACCACCCTCTTCCATAGCCCCCAACCCCATACTCCCTCCCCCGCCCTCCCCTCTCCCCCACGTTTGCGCCATCCGTTCAACCAGAGCAGCACTCAAGTCCAAAGCCACCACCCGCGCGGCTGCTCTGTCAACCCTCGCCAGCTTCCCCACGAACAGAAAAAACCCCTCCCTCTCCTTCCTCCCCACCGTGTCGAACACCTTCACAATCCCTTCCACCGCTGCTGCCCTCCCTTCCGCCCTCTCCGGCGCATGCAGGCACAGGTACCGCAGCAGAGACTCAACCGCAGGGATACACTCCTTTGGCGCTTTCGTGAGAAGATCGGATGTGACAAAATCGAGGGCGCGGGACCGCAGCAGCGAGGGGGAAACCAGGCTCGGAGCTTTCGAGCTGTTGCTGCTGGCGGCGGTGACGTCAGCGTGCGTCATGAGGATCTGCGGACCAATGGCCATGAGGATACAAGCGGCTGTGTCAAGAGGCTTGCCGTGCTGCGGGTCCGTTAACTGAAAGTAGGGTGTGGATCGACAGGGGGAGACGAGTGGGATGGACAGGGGGGAACGAGGGGTTGGACAGGGGACGGCGACCAATCAACTTCACGGATAACAGATCAACAATGGCACACAAATTCCCTTGGAGAGGAAAGGGCCTTCCTGACGGAGATAAACAGATCAACAACTTACTCTAGCACTCGTACGGATACCTTGAGAAGCATACGGTAGGGAAGTCTCCAGGCTTCCACCGTCCGACCTCTGCCCACCGAAACCCTCGTCCGATCCGCACCGACGTATCCCTTCCTGCCTCCCTCCACCCGCTGCTGATCGTCTAGAGAAAATCGCGTGGCCTCCACGAGCATCCCCAGCAGGGACTTACGTGTCTCGCTCTGATTCGCCAGTTTCAGAACGTCGAGTGCTTGGGCAAGGTAACCCAGCACAGACAGCAGAGTCACGCCTAGCCTGCTCTCAGTCTCGTCGCCACCCGGCTGGTTACCATCTTCGTCCATCATGTCGCCCGTTTCGTCGTCCTCATCGCTTCTCAACGACGACTTTCTATGCGTACTTGTACCTTTTCCTTTCCCATGGTTCTTTTTCTTCCCGCCATTAGCCTTCGATGCATCAGCGTCAACACTCGCAGAACCGGAAATTCCTGTTATAACCTGTCGAAGAGCCTGTGCCATTGCGCTAAAAGCGAGCGGATTGAAGATGCTATAAACGGGACAGTTGGGCAGCAGAAACAGGCTGAGGAAGACTGCAGCAGCTGTGAGCCTGACGACGGGAGGCTTCTGAGAAGATTCCATCGTGAGGCGGAGAGATTCGACGACGGAGGAGGTAGAGACTCCAGTTGATGCGAGCGACTCCCAAATCTGCGAACAAAGAAACAGGGAAAGGGTTTTTTAGTAGATTAAAAAATGGTCTCATCTCTGGCGGTAGAGACGCTAGTTGACGCGAGCAAATCCCAGATCTGCGAACGAATCGGAGGAAAGGTGAGACATCAGCTCTACGATCTCGCATGTCTGAGTACGGAAAAAAAACACTCACAGACACAATCAAGATTCTGGCAGTTACTCTGAAATATACAAAAGAAGCTTCAAAATATGTTTCACGCGAAATGTTTCTGGGACGAAGAAAATTGACTAGGTGAGACAATCAGATTCGCATCAAAGAGCTGCAACAAGCATGTGACGAGAGATAGATAATTCCTGCGAGAGAGAGTAAGTAAGGCGCACCTCTTGCTCCTGCTCATCGTGGTTGTAGGACAGCATGTGTTGCAGCAAGCTCTCCATTTCTGCGAGATTCAGCGGCTCTTGACCGACGGGCCTCTCGCCAGGAACGGAAACGTCGCCGGGACTTTTCGCCATGGCGTGCACGAGCTCGGAAGTCCGCGAATTCATAGCTAGTGACGTCTTAGAATTAGGAAGTCAAACAGAGTTAAGGACTCTTGAACTCGTGACAATCCTGTGTTACACTAGGAGTCCTAGTGTTAAATTGATAAATCCTGACGCTTAGCACCAAAGATAAGCTGCCAGTTCTTGCAAAGCGAGGTGCTTTGCAGGTTCGCTTTGTGGTTCAAACGGTACGAGATGGTTTTGCGGTTCATACGGAAGTGGTAGAAATCGCAGTTTCAGTCAACCAGAAGCCATGAGAAGCATGATCGATTCTATTCAGAAATCCTGGGAGATTGTTTTCTGAGCACTGCTGCTGCAGCTTTTGTGGAATTGAGCCTCTTGGGAATTCACTGGTGGAAGTTCTGTGTGCGAGCACCATAGCATCTGGTTGGGTTGGGGGTGGGGAGCTGCTGCCTTGGGAATTCATGTTTTACTCAGCGCAGCGTGAGAGGCATGCCTCGGAACCGAAGTATAGAATTTCCGTACCGTGCTGTAAGCGTACGGCACCGTCCTGATGTCATCGCGTTCCAGGTTTGTCCACCAGTAGCACCGCGGCTCCTTGTCAGAGGATGTGGGTTCAAAAATTCCGCCAGCCAACGACTGACATCAGTCAGAAAGTCCACTCTGACAGCAGTGTTTCTAAGAAAGCATTCAGTATACACAGTAGGATCTGATTCGCTAGACGTACCAGTCTGAAGTTGAGAAGTTATTATGTTAAGTGTTGTGTGCGTTACACAGTGGCATGAGATGTTCCCCTTGGCTATCACCCTCTGCAACTTATCGTTGTGTCCAGCCTTCTTCCTCACATGCTGGCAGACTCTGGTGATCCGCCTCAGCACCCGGCGCGCCCGAAATTTCCGCGTGCGGAACACTGCCTCGCATCTTTCCAACCAGAACTGGTGGAGGGTGATGGCTATCAGCATCGCTTTGGGAAAATCTGAGCTGGAGCCTGCCTTCCGGAAGAGAGGATCCCCCATGTCGAAATGTATATCATATATATAAACTGCTTGTAGCGATTGTTAGTGTAGTCAGGGCCCAAAATTGGTTTTGGGTCACCCTGTTGAGAAACTTAGAACGAGAATGAATTAACTAAGGAATGAAAGTGATACAAATGTAAAACCCTAGAATTGTGTACCCCTTAGTATCTAACCCGCTACAGCCTACACAGGCTAGATCATATAAGTTTGACACACCCACATAGGCAAAGTGGGGGAGAACAAGGGGTCACAAGACCAGTCAAGCAAAGCAAGGCAAAGCAAGCTCAGGGTGGATCACAACCAGGGCCCTCGCTATCAGACATTTTTGTCTGTTTTTCTGAGGAATAAGACGGATTTTTTTTACGTAATCTGATTTTTAAGAAATGGAACGTTTGGGAAATCTGATGAATAAGATATGAGATTCCCATTTTGTCTGATGAAAAAGACGTGCGTGTAGCTATTCCTCTGATTTTCCAGGCACTTGTATCAGTTCCGTCTGAAACCGACTTTTATACAGTCTGCCGTGATTGACGCGTGATATGGGTTAGCTGCGCCAATCACAGCACGATCAGTAGACCTGTATGCGTGATTGCGGTGACAGCGCAGCGGAGCGCACTGACAGAAGTCAAGTGCTGGCAATCTGGCGCACGTCTGGCCAACTTGGGCCACATTGAGACGAAAGTGGAGCAAGTCTTTCTGTTACTGGTCCACTTTCACGCCAGCGCATGAGTTGTGTGGATTGCAGAGCCTCGCGCGACTCGCACCGACTGTTGCCCAACGTCCCGCTGGACGAAGGATGGAGTGGGGCACCGCGGTGCGTTGTAAGATCATGCATGCACCTCGTTCAGCTGATAATGCTCGGCTGGCTCCCCCTCCCTCTCCAACGCTCCTTTCACTCGCTAGCACAGGGGAATTCTTTCCCCTGCTCTCTCTACCGTCTTGACAACATCCTCCTAGGGCCCTGTAGCCATGGATTGTAGGGACGATGATGACCCTGCTAGGTCGCATCGTCCACTTACTGGTCTCGACTTTCTGAGAGGCGGTCCGCCTACCGCCACGCCTGAAAGAGATCCGCCTGTGTAGCCCCCAGTTACCAACAACGAACCAACGGCAAGCACGGAGCCCTGGCCGGATTTTAATCAGCGGCAACAGCTGAGCGATCCGCCTGTGGAAGAGTCGCCCACTAGAGCGATCGGGCGCGTCGCAACTCCCACGGTCAGTGCTGTCCGAAGCGCAGGCGTCTCCCGGTTCCCGAAGTTCGGGAAGTTCACTCAATCGACTATTCGGTTTGCTCGAACTCGCGTACCTCATGTGCGCCTCACGCAAGGAAGGTCGCCCTCTCCCGCAGCTGCTGCTACTCCGCTGACTCCAGCGACTGGCACGAGTAGGGTGCCTTCGGATCCAGGGCCGTCCAGGCCGTCTATTTTGGTTCCGGATCCTGACGCGCTTCTCGAAGAACTGAAGAAGAAGTGCACCGACATCTGGCAACGTCGTTTCCCCTGGCTGCTGATATCACAAAGGAAGGATGGTCGCCCGTGCATGAAGTGCAGTGTCTGCATCAGATACGGACCGCCACACTGGCAGTACGGCAAGGCGGGCGAGGGTGGCGTGGACATCCAGAAGCAGACCATGCGCAAGCATGGTCTGATTCGCAAGCATCAGGACGCCCTCGATCGTAAAGCCCGAGCCGAAGGAGGTAAAGTTGCTCAACGAGGGATTGATGAGTATGAGGACGGGGTGGGGGAGATTGAGCGTTTGAAACAACTTCTATTAGTGGTGCTTTTCATATGCAAGTCGGATGCACCTATTGCGCTCTTTGTTGGCCTTGTGCACCTGCTACATGTTCTGAAGACCCCCAACATTCCCGACAAGGCCATCGGCACCTACCAGACAGAGTGAGTAATGCAACGTGATGTGATGTTTAGGTACTCATCATCATTGACTTATTGTCGTGCTTTTCATTATGGCAGATATGGGTTTCGGGAGATGACCGAAGCCATGGTGCAGCACCTGAAGGCCCGTCAGATGCGATACATCCAAGAGTCGCCCTTTCTCGGGATTCAGCTCGACGAGTCGACTGATCGGAGGAAGGGCAAGCATCTCATCGTCTACCTAACCTTCATGAAGGAGGAGAAGGCGGTGACCGAGCTTTTCGGGCACCTAACCGTGGAGAAGGGCGACGCTTCATCTCTGCTCGCCGTCTTGCTGGCGCATCTGGACTGCAACGGGGTTGACATGCACAAGATCTCCGGCATCAGCACGGATGGCGCGAACGTCATGCTGGGCAGTCAGAATGGGCTGGTGGTTCAGCTGAAGATGCGAGTTCCGCATCTTGTCGCGTGTCATTGCCTTGCTCACCGGTGAGGTATTTTGCACTTCAAATTTTGCAGTATTGTTGTCAGATACATCTCCCCCTACTCACTTGGTTTTTTTTTCCATCATCTAACAGAGAGGCTCTCGCAGCCAAGGATGCCGCGACGAACATCCCCGCCTTCAACATCGTCGACCAAGGGATCCGCGCCATCGCGACCCTCATTGGCGGAAGCTGCGTCGTCCACCAGAGGTTCCACGAGCTGCAAACCGTGATTCACGCCACGAACTTGGAGATGCAGGGGATTTTCGATGTTCCCTGGCTGTCGCGGGGCGATGCTGTTTCGAGACTTGTCGCTGTTCTGGCGGCTGCCATAGTGCTGCTCCACGAGAAAGACAGCACGACGTATCACCTGGTTACGAGCCTCAAATTTCATTTCTTTCTTTTTTTTCTCGCTGATGTCCTGAAGGAATTGAACGAGCTCAACAAGCGGTTTCAGCGACGATCGGTGAGCGTGTAATTAACGGTCGCCAATTTTGAAATTCGCTCTAGTCCCGAATGTCAGTGATTAACATTGTGTTTGTGCGTGATGTCGCAGGTGGACATCACCCGTGTTATGGGGCAGGTGCAAAACACCTGCGAGAAGTTGAACGCGCGCTATGTGGAGTACGGGGTGAACTTCGCGGAGGACAGCGAGCACCTCACTGCCTTCCTCGAAGCGCACTCCCATCCGTCCAAGCGGGTGGTCCAGGTGGAGGGGATGGATGGAGACGGCAACGCCGTCAAACACACCTTCAAGCTGCACGAGCTGGATGCGAAGAAGAAAGAGGATCCCTCGGGTGACGTCGAGTCCTGCGTGTCCCTCGCCACCCTGTTTGCGAAGGAGGTGATCGGCAGGCTACAGTACCGCATGCGAAGCTTGAAGTCCCTCGTTGGGTCCAAGCTATTTCTGCCAGACGCCTATCCGGATGGCGTGAACAAGCGCGACCGTCTGTGCGCGGAGT